AAATCTATAAAGCTCTTGTTCAGCATCTAATTTCTCCTTACAGCATCATTACTGAATCAAACATGAAGGTCACGAGAATAAAGGATATGATCGTAAATCTATAAAGCTCTTGTTCAGCATCTAATTTCTCCTTACAGCATCGTTACTGAATCAAACATGAAGGTCACGAGAATAAAGGATATGATCGCAAACCTATAAAGCTCTTGTTCAGCAAACCGTTAGCAGCCGTTTACCGTTTGCAGTAAACGCGATGCTAAAGGTCCCTATTGTCCCGCTGATTATAAGGAAATTCCGAGGGTACTTTCCCCTTCTTTTTCGGAAGACAAAAAACCCGTCGTGCTCTCAGGACGAGCTTGTAGAGAAAGGATGAATGGCCTTATCTCAAAATACCTTGAAGAAGATAAAAAGGCTCTTAAAAAGTAGGCTTTTCCCGCGAAAAGACGTCCACGCCATGCTAAAGTCAATTTTGGTGACGACGGCAAACGGGAAACCTCAAACCGCTAGCAGCTGTTTGCCGTTTGCAGTAAACGCTATGCTAAAGGTCCCTAATAACTAATGTTGCCGTGACAATCGAACGCCACGTGGAATGATCGCCTCATGGAATATCGCCTTCAAAGGTACTTCTGTTTTAAGATTCACACACCGCTTAGGGGCTGACAGATTCACACCTGAAATTTGTCATTTGCTTTTCTAAAATGATCTAACACTAGATCTACCAGTCACCTCTCAAATCAGCTTTATAAAGGCAAATCCAGGAGCTAAATCTTAAAAAGCTCCTACCCCACATATCCTTGCCTTCTGTAGATTAAGAATATCAAAAGTGTAATATTATAGGCGTACTTGTCTGCTGCTTTGGCTAATCTCTTACGCCAAAAATTGAAAAACTGACCCTTGCGTCAAGTTCTATAATGGCCGTTGGGACAGTTGTTCGAGCAATGACGCAATCAAACGGGCATATTCCTCTCCCGTTGGGAATTGACGGGCTTAGTTTTTTACTCCTTTCTTCAGGAGCAAGTTCTGACGTCGAGCAATTGAGGTTCCCTCCCCTTCTTCATTTTTTAGTCGACATTCATAGAAAAAGTCACTCCATAGAAAAGGAGCTCAACAACAGACTTTTGTCAAACTTCGCTCATGGATAGGTTATCTCACGGATGCCTAGCATTTGAATACAGGCGGGGTCTGCCGCGCTCAACGACAGATAACGGTATTGCATTTTCCTTGCTATAACTGTTACGTGAACATAATTGCGCTTAAAGGGACCTGCAAGAATTTAATTTCCAGTTAGTAAAGTTATAGCTCAATTCAAAAGTTGAAAAATTAAACATGAGCACGATACGAAACGATGAAGTGACGATTTCTTGATTTTACGAACAAATGGAAGTGAGCTCCTCAAAGGTTTTTTCCATGGTGTAAAACAGTTTAATTCCTTTCTGCTGTGCTTACAGTTCAGTTTAGTATTTGTGGTACTGGTAACTAGATCCGGGATCTTCTGAGTATGTGGACGAGTGCAGAATACAACATGGCGGTTTTATATTGACTTAGTAGTGTCCATTAATTACTCTGTGTTACAAATACTACAGTATAGATCACAGAAGACATAAAATACACGCAAAATGAAAAAATCCTTTTGTTTAAAGGAATTGTGGGAAATACCTTGCCTCCACCACACAATTTACCGCTTTTCTTGCAATTCGCTAAATATAGATGAATTAATTGATAAATAAATCAGGGAATGAGTAAATGAACATAAACAAATAAATAAATAATATTATGAGTAGTTTATCAATTCTCTTCTTGAAGTGTGATAAAGGCTGATTTAAGCAAATGAACCCTGCCAGGTTCATGGAAAGGTATCACTGAGATAAGTAAATATGAGGATATTCATTTTTCTACCGAGGTTTCATACAGACAACGAACATTTCCTAATTCCAACAAAATACACTTAGAAATCGCCTGCTGGGTTGTCACAAGCCGCTTAGAGGATACCTAATTTATGTCTGAATCAAAACGATCTGTCAATTTGATACCCTTCCTGAAGCAACAATGGATACCGTATTCACCTTTCACATAGGGGTTAACTTTGCAGCTCCCAGAGTTAGCAAGTAGTGAACACTTCCAAATTGTATCCTTGCACTCGGCTAATGGTTGAGAATGAAAAAAAAGTATACGCTTGGAAATGCACAGCTCCTGAATTGTCACTCAGTGAAATAGTGATGGCTGTGAAAAATGCGACTAGTTCCCTCCCTCCAACCCACAACCTCAAACAGAACATACCGCACTCTTGAGTGTTACATTCTTGTCCTTCCTTGGCTGGTCCCAGGTTTTGCTCAGAACATGCTAGCCCTCCACCAGATGGTGGGGGATTAGTACATGTCCGGTATCGTGTCTGAACACCTCCACCACAGGTCACACTGCATTCTCTCCAATCAGACCAATTCGTATAACCACCAGGTATAGCTAGGAGTAATAGTAGAGTTTGATATGAGAGTAAATTACTCTCTCCCCCTTAAACTATTGCAAAGTAACAAAGTGAAAGCTGTGACAGGTATTTGTGACCCCCCCTCTCTCCCTCCCCCTCCTCCTCTGAGAAGTACATACCACATTCTTGCATGTTATACTCTCGTTCTTCCATTGCACGTCCAAGGCCTTGCTCGACACATGTTGGCCCTTTGCCAGACGGCGGGGGATTTGTACAAGTCCGCGACCATATCTGCCTTCCTTCACCACATGTCACACTGCACTCCCCCCACTCAGTCCATTCAGTATAACCACCGGGCACAGCCAGAGGTAAAAGAAGAGTTTGGTATGTGAATAAATTACCTCCCACCAAAATTATTGCAAAGTAACAAAATGAAAGCTGTGGAAGTTGCTAGTGATCTAGATCTCTCTCCCCTCCCTCCCCTGCTCTAAGAAGTGCATACCACATTCCGGTATGTTACACTCTCGTTCTTCCATTGCACGTCCAAGGCCTTGCTGGAGACATGTTGGCCCTTTGCCAGACGGCGGGGGATTTGTACAGGTCCGCGACCATATCTGCCTTCCTCCACCACATGTCACGCTGCACTCCCCCCACTCAGTCCATTCAGTATAACCACCGGGTACAGCTAAGGGTAAAAGAAGAGTTTGATATGTGAGTAAATAACCCTCTCCCCCCCCCCCGCCGCATCAAACTATTGAATGTGCATACCACATTCTTGCATGTTACACTCTCGTTCTTCCGTTGCAAGTCCGAGGCCTTGCTCGACACATGTTGGCCCTTTGCCAGACGGCGGGGGATTAGTACAGGTCCGCGACCATGCCTGCCTTCCTCCACCACATGTCACGCTGCACTCCCCCAACGAAATCCATTCAGTGTAACCACCAGGTACAGCTAGAGGTAAAAGTTCATCTTTATAATCAATGTTAGCTCGCAATGAAATAGCTTAGTTGAACGTTTTGTATCTGCCTATTTGAGTTATCAATCCATGTTAATATTAATTATTACTTTCTTAGCCAAACATTTCTATGGCACCTGTGAATGAATCGAAATGTCAAGTGTTACTTGACTTGAGATAATTCAGGGCTGCAATTTGCCTTCACAGGTTCGCCACTATTTATTCGAAGCACTAGGTTAACGCTTGAAGCAAGTCTCATGTTTCTCGTTGATATTTACCTATTCAGACTGTTTAAACATCCAGTTCGGCTCAAGGGAAACTACTGCATAATACCTTTATGCTAAAGATTAGACTAGACGAAGATTCTCTGACCTGTTTTGAACTGGAAACCGAATTTATGTGGAAAGAGGAAGGGAGGCTGATACTACGCATTTCAACCACCCAAAAAAGAAAAAACTGACTTTTGGTCATGCTTAAGACAGTCTTATGTGTTACATTCCTTAGATTCCTTAGCAAGACCCGAGTCTTGTTTCATGCAAGTTATTCCTTCATTTTTCGGCGACAGGTTGGTGTAGGTTCTTGAATGATGACGACTTTCCCCACCACAAGGTTCGAATAAAACCAGAAACTGATGAATTTGTTTGATTTTAATACTCTCATGACTAAGAATGCCAGGTAAACTAATAATGCACAAGACAAAATACTTACAGCATGTGGCTTTACGAATTTTTTTTCAACTGGTTGTTTAAGTCATCAAAATTATGGGCTTTAACCACGCGGTGCTTTTCTCCGGCAGTAGTTACAAGTTCTTCAAATTTGATATTATTACCAATTCCAACAGCCATCCGATGTATGCTCTTGGCCTATGAGGCAAGATAAAGAATGGCGGTAATCTAACAAAAACATTGCTTCAGTGGAAAGAAAAATTATATTTTACGATAATTTCAGCTCAAAACTGGACCCTCTCGACCATTCAGTATTAGAATCATTGCACTGTGACAATTTGTATATTTTTCTCATTGCTCACCTCAAGTTTTGGTAGAATGTGACCATAAGGTTTGGAATTTCTTATGCGTTCCCCCATCAGTAAATATGATCATGATATTTGGAGATTCTGGTCGATTTCCATTTGACGTACTGAAAACGTCGTCAGCGACCATTTCCAGTGCTCGGTCAGTCCGGGTTGGTGATCCTAGATGATCATTCGCTTTCATTTCGTCAATAAATTTATCAAGAGCCTCTTTATTTTGATACTTTGCGTCGTCGAAACTCGTGCGAATCTTTGGTCTACCAGCATACGTCAGGATGGAGAAACGAGTTTTGTCGGTTCCAACGTTATATTTTTTAATGAGTTCCTTGATTGAGTCTAACATCATATCATAGTTGTCTCTTCCCACGCTTGCGGCTCGGTCGACTACAAGAGACATGTCCAGTAGAGAATCCTCACAACTCGATGAACTCCCTAAAAGGTCAAATCGTTTCAGGTTCTTAAAAGCACGATATAATAATTCGGGTTTGATAAAGGTGCTGTTCTTCATGAATCGTCTGTTCTCAGTTTTCTTTGTTTATAATCATTCTTTCAATGATTACTGTTGGTAATTAAGTTCCGATCCATCCACATTAAGAATATTTCCTTACTCGTAACTGGTCAGCTCAGATGACCACCACAAACCGTATAATATTGTCCAAGCTTTAATAATTATTCGATCTAAGAGAAATACATTTGTAGTTCGAAATCAGAAAAACGCAAATTAAGTCTTAATCTCGAAGCAAAATTCAAGAAAACGTGGTTGGAAACTTACTTCTGTGGCGGGTCGTAAAAACAGGTTTCTCACTTCAGGTTAGCAGATTCGGGTAAGCGAACAGATATAAAAATCGACTTCTTTCTTACTGATTCTTCTGAAAACTGGTTTAAAACATAATAAGCTAATACTTTTTAATCATTGTACGGAATTAATGTCAATCACGAGTCGTGTAATTAAAATATATCCGTCATCAAAGGCAACTCTTATTTACTAAACGAAACAAAGAAACAATTCAACTCGAAAGTAAAATTTAGGATTTTTGAAACGGCACACCCTTTTACACAAAAACTCAACAATTCAAGGCAATGAATTATGCTGATTACTACTACAATGATTCAAAAAGCTCAGAAATATCTCAAGAGCGTTACACACTATGTATGAACTGCATACCTATTTTTCTAAGTACATTATGATAAATTATCACACAACATTAACTTTGGGTAAAGAATAAAGCACCAAAAACAAAGTAAAGAACTCTGAGGCAAACATGACTTGTCGTCGGCTGTAAACTGTTTGAACTGAAACAAAGATGGAAATATGATGTACATGTTACCGAATCTCGGAATTTCAAATGGAATGATACATTCCGGTGTTGTAAAAAGTGGGATAGGGATTTTAGGATACCTCTTTGAAGTAAGGAAAAATCGTCTCACCACAGCAGACTAGGTTTTTTTTTTTCCCCGTTTTAATCTGATCTGGCCACTCTTCTGTACAATATGAGTATTAAATAATAACTGAGACCGATGGCGGTGGAGATCTTTATAAGAACTGAATTCAATGAATTAACTGGGCACGGAAATGGTACCCTCGTTTTGAATGAGGATTATCGAATTTCCTAGAAACTTTCATTTCCAGTGAAGAATGTGTTTGGATATTTAGAGGAATTAAAAATTTAGTCTCCCGCTTGTATTAACCGCAACTAAAATTGATTTAAAACGAATTTTCATTATATATTTTTTAAAAATCAAGTTGAACGCGATCAAGATACGTGATGTTTGGTATCCCACGAGATGCTGTTTTTAAAATTACTGGCTGCAATGCCACGTTCCAGATGTCGCCAGAGAAAATAACTGACAGTTGAACTGTATTTCATTCACTTGTGGAAAGAAAAAGTTATCAAACTCATAGAACTGCTTCTTTAATGTTAGTTTAACTTAGCCAGCATTATTATATATGCAATGGACCTCGATCTGGATTATTCTTGCCACTGTTGACCAAACCTCAGTATACAACGTTCAAATAAAACATTTGTGTCAGTTTAAGGTGATGTGCTTTAACTATCTAGCCTTGTAATGGTGAATGTAGAATTTGCAACTCAATTAAAAATGAGCCGCTATAAGTACATAGAGCTGTTGCTGTTCATACTAAAAAGTGCAAAAGATTAACGTCTCAGTATGAGTGAGTTTTCAGGAGAAAAAATTCAATATTTTCATTTCTTGAAAACAAAATTTTCTATAAAAACGAAGGTATACGTAACAAAGGCAAGAGCAGTGAAGTTTGCGTGACTTACAAATGCGTTCTCATAGCAACTTATTTTGGATTCAGTATGCATGTTTTGAAACTGACCAAAGTACATTTAACAAAACAGTTTGTCGTGTTTGTCACGTTCTGGTGAAAATAATTTGTCAGGTCGATTTTGAAAAGCTATTGAAACCCTCCAGACTTTTATATTTTGGTTGATCGTACATTACTACAAATTAAAAGAAGGTCAGCGGAAAGAAGTAACACGGTTATTTTTTAAAAAGAGCTGTCATAGTAATCTCATTCATGCTCTAGCGGTTCTTTGTCATTCCAACGAGCTCTAACATATCGTGCCATATCAGCAGTTTTTTTGGGACAAAATTAGAGCTAACATGCTGCAAATGTCTACCAAAATCTTTAAAGAAAAGTACGGTAGCGCCAAAGAAAAAAAATATAGAATGATTAGAGACATTACACACGCACATTTTCTACTCTTCCAGTTGCTGTTATTCAAATGAGCGGATTTGTATTGCGTCTTACTTTTACATCTTTAGTTAAAGCAAAATTACCATTTTGGAAATGTATTTAAAGAGAAGGAATCGGGATGGAAGGTATAAAGATCCCTCATGTAACAAGGAATCAAGATTATTGGAAAGATGTTTGGATATTTAGAGGAATTAAAAATTTAGTCTCCCGCTTGTATTAACCGCAACTAAAATTGATTTAAAACGAATTTTCATTATATATTTTTTAAAAATCAAGTTGAACGCGATCAAGATACGTGATGTTTGGTATCCCACGAGATGCTGTTTTTAAAATTACTGGCTGCAATGCCACGTTCCAGATGTCGCCAGAGAAAATAACTGACAGTTGAACTGTATTTCATTCACTTGAGGAAAGAAAAAGTTATCAAACTCATAGAACTGCTTCTTTAATGTTAGTTTAACTTAGCCAGCATTATTATATATGCAATGGACCTCGATCTGGATTATTCTTGCCACTGTTGACCAAACCTCAGTATACAACGTTCAAATAAAACATTTGTGTCAGTTTAAGGTGATGTGCTTTAACTATCTAGCCTTG